TTTTTTCTTTTCTTCGTTTGTTTTGTTTTATTATTTTATTTATTGTTTGATGTCTAAATTATTAAACATACTTTTGAAGTAATCTTATGGCACGTGATAAAATATTATTTGAACGAACTCATGTTTTTGTTAAAGATCGAATATCACAAAATGATTTTCGATCTGATTCATTCGAGGAAATCAATGGAACACTTTCAATAACTGAAAATGAACGTGGTCGATTCTTTCGTTTTATACCAAAAGGTACTGAAGATAATACGACAGATGATTGGGCATTAGTTAATGGTGGTAATTCAATAATTTCATTTAAAAATACGAAAAATGATAAAGATTCAATATCTGTTACACCAAATCCATTATTAAAATTTCGTTTTTATTTTAATATCAATACTTTACGAAGTATTCGTCGACATTATGTATTGCATAGTATTTCTGATATTGTACTTGTACTTCAAGATGGTACAACATTACCAGCATTTCATTTCACTCTTAGTGGAAGTAAAGAGCTTATTCAAATGCTTGGTCGATATCTACAACTTGAAAAGTAAAGAAAAATTTATTGAAAAATAAAAAAAATCAAAGAAATTTTATAAAATAAGATTTTTTATTTAAAATTCAGATCACCACAAGATAATCGATTGTATATTGTTAGAGGAGAAATTGAACAAGAAAATATTTCTCAACCAATAAGTGCTTTTGATCAAATGAATTTATTTGATAATTCAAATGATCTTATGAAGCGAATTGTACGTAGAAAAGAAACGAATTTAAAATAATTATTTTAATTGTAAATTCTATTTAGAAAGGATCAGATTCACGTCGGACGGCTATTGAAAAATTTTCTCGTGTAACACATTTTTTTAAAGATGCATTACTTGGTCAAAATGAATTTATACCAGCAAGTGGAAATCCAGATGGTACTCTTGAACCAGATATAACAGCTATTATGGAATCATTTAATGGAGATTTAAGAGAATCAAATAATGATGGTTTTGAAGTTATTTATAAAGTTGATTTTAAAAAATTACCAGAAGTTACACGTTATTCACCGATGACAATTAAAGAATGGGAAATGTCATTAGATAAAGATGGACGTGTTATTGATATTAATAAAATGAAAGAACGAATATTTCGTGGTGGATTAGAATCAAATAAATTAAGAAGTGAAGTATGGAAATTTTTATTAAATTATTATCCATGGACATCAACACTTAATGAACGAATTGAATTATCAAAACAAAAAGAATCAGAATATTTTGCAATGAAATTACAATGGAAATCAATGATTGAACAACAAAAACAAAGAAATAGTTTATTTCGAGATCGAGAATCATTAATTGGTAAAGAAATATATAATAAACTAATCATTTTGTTTTTGAATATGCTTTCACTTTTTTAGACAAAGATGTAATTCGTACTGATCGAACACATGAATATTTTCATGGTGATAATAACATTCATCTTGAAGTCTTACATGATGTATTAATGACTTATAATATGTTTAATTTTGATTTGGGTTATGTTCAAGGTATGAATGATTTGTTAAGTCCAGTATTAATTGTGATGGAAAATGAAGTTGATGCATTTTGGTGTTTTGTTGGATTAATGGAAAGAATGGAACAAAATTTTCATATGGATCAATCACATATAAAACATCAACTTGGAAATCTTCATACACTTCTTCAATTTATTGATGCTGAACTTGCAAATTATTTAGGTTAAAGAAAAAATAAAAATTTTTGTAAATCAAAATTGTGCTTGTTTGTGTTTTTTTTAGCTGAAAATAATTCAAGTAATATGTATTTTTTCTTTCGTTGGATGTTGATCTGTTTTAAACGTGAATTTTCATTTGAGGATGTTATGTATTTATGGGAGGTAAATATAAAATTAAATTTATCTATTTATTATAATATTATTTATTAATTTAAGGTCTTATGGACAGATCATTTATGTCAAAATTTTGAATTACTTGTTTGTTTGGCTATTTTAATTTCACAAAAAACAGTTATTATGGAATCGAAATTTGGTTGTAATGAAATTCTGAAAGTATGTTTATAATAGAATCCATTCTCGACTCTAACTAACCTTTTAAGATATTTTATTAGCTAAAAACTATAAAAATGACGGTTCTAAATTAATAATGATATTTTTGTATACTGAATAGTAATTCTTTAGTATGATCAAATTAAAAATTCGTATCCTTCGGACTGCACTACAAATATTTCAGACGCAATGATTGTCATTCTTCAGAAATCTAGACGATAACATTTTTTTTTAAAGAATTAAATATTTATATCTATTAATAGCATATCAATGATCTTTCACTCAAAGTTCAATTGGAACCATTATTAAAACATACTGAAGGTCTTTATATACTGTTGAAACAACATGATCAATCTACACCTGGTCTTCCACCAACAATATCAGTAATAATGTTTCCAAATAAGAATAAAAATTTAAAAAAATTACATAAAAATAATGATCATGAATCAGATTCTGATGCAACATCAACAATATCATCAGTAAAATCTTCACGTGGAACATCACCAAATCCTGAAGGTGAACGAAAAGCTCGTACAAGAAATTTAACAGAATCACATTCAATCGACGAAAATGATAGTGCAGTTGTTAGCCACACAAAAAAAATTTAATATTGTATTTTTTTGTTTCATTTATTCTTTGTTTTATCGGTGTATATTCTCGTACAAATAATTCTGTACGAGAACAAAGATGCAAAATAAAAATAATCATAAAGTTTTTTTTCTTCGTCTAACGACTATTCTATATACATATATTTATTTATATATTTATTCTAGATAAATATGAGTGAAAAACATAAAATAGATGATAAGAATGATTCAGAAGATGATGACGATGATGATGATTTTTGTCCAGCAAAAACTAAAGCAGAACAATCTGATCCAAGTGATGAATCAGCAGAAGAAGATGGTGATGATAATAATGAAGATAATAATGTACAGATAGATAATACAAAGAAAAATGATTTAAATATTACACCATATGATGAATCTAAAACAGAAGAACTTTGGAAGAATTTTACAAGTAGTACAAAATCATCAGATACTCCAAAGACAACAACAACAACAACAACACCAGAAGTAGAAAAACCAAAACAAATAACTAAAATACTTGATTATGCCGGTGAAAAAGTAATTGTACCTGTTACAACACCAACAACAAATTCATCTTTAAAACGACCAGCTTCATCAGCAACAACATCTAGTTCTTTACTCGATCGTCTTGGCATCGGTAAAAAGCAAAAATTATCAACATTAGAAAAATCTCGTCTCGACTGGTCTAATCATAAAGAATCTGAAGCATTAACAGATGATTTAGATTCTCATCGACGAAGTAAAGATTCATATGTTGAAAGGAAAGCATTTCTACAACGTTCGGAAGTACGTGAACATGATCATTATTTAACCAATGTAAAAAAAAAATAAATTTGTTATATTATTAGTCAATAAAACATATTTTGATAAAATCTCAAAATATCTCTTGTGTAAATAAAATCATATAGTCAATTTTGTATATATATTTGTTTAATATTTTAAGCGTTCTTAAATTAGATATATTATTCTGGCAACACTTACGAAACTATTCAGCTAATTCAATTACTTTGTAAATTCGTCGAAGGGACTTGATTTGATACAATAGGATTAGATAGTAAATGTTCTACTTAAATAAGATTCAAGTTTTCTTTTTTATAAATGAATATCATATATGTATTTTCTAAGTATTAAATCCAACTTATGTATATACATTATATTTGGTTCACCCTAAAAATGTCGAACAATATAAATACCAGAAAACTTTACTAAAATAATATCGAAAGATAAAAAGATCAAACAATAATATTGTCAAGAATATAAAACCATCTTGAGGGTGGATGTGGGTCTAGCTATGTGATAAGTACGACATTCACACCCACCCACGCTGTTATATTTTAGCTCAAAAACATACAAAATATATTTTGTATCAGCTAATGATGTAAGAAATACATTCGATTTCCAATTCTCATGATATATATTCAACGACTATAAAAAGATAATTTGTTTGCAAGTGAATCCACATCATCAAATATTGAAAATTCTGCAAAATCAGAATAACTGTATAAAATTGGTTCAACCATATTGAAAATAAAATCTTTTTTGGTTCATCGCTATCAAATAGAATCTTTTTTCTCTGAACCTTATCCAACCTTACACATTTTACAGTTCGATTTTATTATGGGAAAAATTTTGTAGTCCAATATTATTGCGCAGAAACTTTTCCATCAGTGTGACTGGCAACAACTTCCCAGGATTTGGCTGTTATCACATTGATTCTGTTATTGTTCGATGCCATCCAGAAGGATCTTTCAGAGTTTTCCTATTGCTATACCCAACCTTTTCTGTTTTAGCCGCACTAAAAAGAACCTTTGAGAATTTTTCTATTGTAATACAAAATAAAGTCTGGTTTTCCATTTACTGCAGAGTAACAAAATATTTTTTTACAAACTTCTTTCTGTTTTTGTGACTATGAACCTATTCGCCTCATAACAAAAGCTTTAAGAAAACATGAACAATAAAATATAGATTAAGTTTCAAAGCAAACCATTTTATTTTTTGCGTCTGTCAAAATTATAACACAAAAAAAATATGATCCGCACCAGCGATTTATTCCTCCATTGATTGTATTTAATATTACCATTTATAATTTTCTTCCTCCTCCTTTCATTCAAGTAATCCATCAACTACATGCGTCGCGTTACCCAGATGAAATCACTCCAAACGAATAGATTGATAAGTGCCTAAATAACAAAGTGAAGGCAAACACTCATTATCGATAACAAGAGAATGAGACTTACTGTTTTGCGCTCTAATACATCAGCCAAATATTGTGCTTTAACATATCCGATTTCATTGCTCGACAGATCTAGAGTGGTAAGTGTCTAGATGTAGAAGTGGAGATAAAGACATGGTTTGTATAAAGAGAAAATGAAAATTACTGTGTTGTGTTGTAATGCATCAGTCAAAGACTGTGCTCCAACCTCTCCGATTTTATTGTTCGAGAGATTTAGTGTCGTGAGTGTCTAGAT